TTTGTTGTTGGAGTGTATAATAAAAATATAAACAAGTGATGACTTGCAAAGTGATATTTTCAGATTTTCATTTTTATGGATTTTATTCTTATCATTTTTAATTTTCATTCAATCATATAAAATCTCTCCACATATATTTAAATTTAAGATAATAAGTGATATTATTACTTTTAAAATTTGTAATTTATATATAATTATTTATAAATTAGTTTATTTGAATTTGAAAAGTTGTCCTATAAATTAAAATACAATTACAATTGTATTAAAAAAAATTGTAATTAGTTGAGAAGTTATAATCAATTTTAAATACTCAATAAGATATGGATTAGGATTAATTCATATTTTTATTTTCTGATTTAAATAAATGCGTTGAGCCCGTTTAATAAGTCCGTTTGTAAATCCTTTTTTTAATTTTTTTAATCATATTTTTAATGCTAAATAAATATCACATTAATGCTAAATATCATATTTTAAAAATTTTAAAATAAAAATTTAAAATAAATTTAAAATTTAAAATAAATAAAAAGGGAAACGGATATTTATCTATATATACTGGAAATTACACCCTAATTCACGTAATCCATTTTCTCCACGAAATCGACATAGACACGAGGAATAAATATTTCTTATGGTTAAATTTAACTCGAATTACAAAAAATGCATATTTAATCCTTCAAAATTTTGTCATACTTAATTTCCTACGTGGTTGGGATTCTTATAGGTAAGATTTATCTATTTAAATTAAGATTAAAAAAAATAAAATTTCTAAAATTAGTAGTTATAATTATAATAAAAAATTATCATGGATGATTAACTTTTAAACATGTGAGGTTTTTACATTTAAAACTATTTATAACTTTTTTGTTCTTTCTTTTCTCTCTCAATAAATACAAAATACAGTTTTTATTTCTTTTTATAATGTGATTTTAACTATACACAAATAATATTTTTGAATAATAGCTCTGTCCTCAATTTTGATCAACATGATTACGAAGTTATGTTTGAATAAGGATCGTGTTAACTTTTTTTTATTGTGATTCATGAATTTAAGGTAAAAAATTATTCTCCCCTTTTTCCCCAATTAATTTGTATTTTTGCATATTTCTATATCTAAAAATTGAAAGAAGAAAATGCCCATCATAAATACAGTAAATCGAGAGGATCTTCATTGGACTATCCAACCCAACATAAAGATTGAAGTGAGAATAATGTTTTTTGAATCTAATTTAATATTAATTATTATCAATGAAAAAGAGTAAAAATATGAGGCTTTTGAAAATCATGTTCCAAACACATTGAGATCTTTGAAGAACACATGAAATTCTCTCATACATAGGTAACATTTTTTTTATCAACTTTTTGAATGAGTTGACAACATAATATGTGAATTCTTTTTCATTAATATTTTAGTATTATCATTGTATATATTGAAGCCTCAATTTTTAAATGAAGAACTTTTTCGTCTCTTAGAATTAGAGTAAAAAAATAGTTATGATCTATCCATTTGAATTGAGATATGAGTGATGAATGATTTTAAATTCAACTTAACGCTAAAATGTAAAATATTAAAGATTAAAGATAAAAACTTTAAATTCATCGTTGGAATCAAATTCAACCGTGAATTTTACATAATACAATATTAAGTAGTATTATAAATAACAATATACTCATGTAATCTCATAAAGATGAAACAAGCTTAAGTTATTTCTACTAGACTCTTAGATCAATAATGTACTAAATTAAATAAGAATAACGACACATGTTAGTTATTAATTTAAATTTCCTACGTAGAATAAAAAATTAAGTCAGAAGCCTTCATGGATTTTAAATTTTATTAAAATATATGCATAAATAGAGGATAAAATAAAAATAAATGCACGATTTATATATATATATATATAAAGGATAAAATTAAATTTCAAATAGTCGATATAAATAAATAGAAAACTATTTACAATTCAAAATCCCACAATAGTTTTAGTTTCAAAGAAGTTACACACGTTCTTGAAAATTTCATATCCTATATTTGAAACCATATTTCCATAAAATACGACTAAAAAATAAAATCGCTTTTTTAAAATTTATTTATTTACCTTACTTAGATGTTAAATTATTATATAAAAAAACTTCAAAAAAAAAAACGTAGTTGATTATAGATATTAGAATAGTATAATAACAAGTAAAATTGTGTACTAAAACATTAAGTTAATATGATCATATAAATAGTAATAAAGTAGTATTATAACTATTTTTTTTTTATAAAAAAAGTGAAGGATAAAATTTTGAAATTATTTTAATTTAAAAATATTCACGCAACGCGTGGGTACGAATAGTAATTAATGTAAAAAAAAAGTACATAATATCACGTCCACAAATAATAACTCACCTAACAGAAGGAACTAGAAGAAAAAATTAGCCTATTTCGAACAGTATAGAAATATTTTAAGCCTTTTCCCAATTTCTCTTTACTACAAAAACCTATTTGCCCAAAAAAAAGAATCTATAAAAAGGCATATGCAACAACCTTTTGAAGAACTTATAATTGAACCAAAAATAACCATCCTTTCTCTTCCCAAAAATGGAGTTGTTCAACTTAATTTCCATTTCCCTTTTTGTATTTTTCCTCTTTTTATTAAAGAAATTGAAGAATTCCAATAGCCAAATTAACAAAAGATTGCCTCCTGGTCCATGGAAATTACCATTTGTTGGAAGTATGTTTCATATGGTTGGTGGACTTCCACATCGTGTCCTTAGAGATTTAGCCAAAAAATATGGTCCAATTATGCACCTTCAACTAGGTGAAGTTTCTCTAGTTGTTGTTACTTCTCCTATCATGGCCAAACAAGTGTTAAAAACTCATGACCCCGCTTTTGCATCTAGGCCAAGACTTTTGGCCTCCGAAATTGTCTTGTATAATTGTACAGATATTGCATTTTGCCCATATGGCGATTACTGGAGACAGATGCGCAAAATTTGTGTCTTAGAAGTGCTTAGTGGAAAAAATGTTCGGTCATTCAGTTCAATTAGACAAGATGAAACTCTTCGTCTAGTTGAATTTTTTAGATCATCATCCTCAGGTGAGCCAGTTAATGTAACAAAAAGGATTTCGTTATTCACAAGCTTTATAATATGTCGATCAGCATTTGGGACGATATTCAAGGAGCAAGATGAATTTATACGAGTAATGAAAAGTGTGACATCTTTATTGGAAGGGTTCAATGTGGCTGACATATTCCCATCTTTGAAATTTCTTCATGTGTTAAGTGGAATGAAAGGTAAAATTCTTACTTATTTTTTGACGTTTGATAAATAAATAAAAATAATTTGTATAATATAGGTAAATATTATCGGCTTATCGCGATGAAAATAGAGAGTAGGAGTGTAGGGGTGATGGTGATAGGGACTATAGTATAGGAGCTTTGTCAAACAATTCAAACAATTAGATAAATAACACGTACGTGTGAATGAATTTAACCTTGTAACTTGCTCTCAAATGTAGGACATGTTTTCAGCAGGAACAGAAACAACATCAACCATAATTGACTGGGCCATGGTGGAAATGATTAAGAATTCAAGTATACTTTTCAAAGCTCAAGCAGAGGTAAGGGAAGCCTTTAGAGGAAAAGAAACTTTTGATGAAAATAATGTCGAAGAATTGAAATACCTAAAACTAATCATTAAAGAAACTTTAAGACTCCATCCTCCGCTTCCACTTATGCTCCCAAGAGAATCTAGGGAAGAAGTAGACATAGATGGCTATACTATTCCTTCGGAAACAAAATTAATAGTTAATGTATGGGCTATCGGAAGAGATTCAAATTATTGGGATGATGCAGAAAGCTTTAAACCTGAGAGATTTGAGCAAAGTTCGGTGGATTTTGCTGGTAATAATTTTGAATTTCTTCCATTTGGTAGTGGAAGGAGGATTTGTCCTGGAATATCATTTGGTTTAGCTAATGTATATTTACCTTTGGCTAACTTATTATATCACTTTGATTGGAAACTTCCTCTTGGCATTAAATCAAGTGATCTTGACATGACTGAGTCGGGTGGAGCAAGTTGTACTAGAAAGAGTAACCTTCACTTGGTTATGACTCCCTATCAACCTTCTCAAGAGTGACTCAATGGTATCGAACTTTATTTTAAGAAAGATTTAAAGTAAATTATATATATATATATATATATATTAATGTAGTGATTGGCCTTATAAAGCTCATCACGTGTTGCTTGTCCTTCCCCCTCTTGCTTTTAATTTGTTTCTTCTTATGGTATTTATGCTTTCAGTATTTGTAACATATTTATGTATCTTTGTTATGTTGTAAATATATCATGATAGTTATAATTATATACATAGAAAATGCCATCCCCCCCCCCCCCGAACATTACTAGTGGTTGCGTTGCTTTGCTATATACTGATGCATATTAAATTCATCAATATAATATCGATCAAAATTGATGGATAGGGTCAATTTTTTTTAAAAATCAATATCAAATTGATAGACTATACATCATAGGTTTGACCTTCATCGATTTCACTCAACTGATGGGTTGATTTTTTAGAAACATTAGAAAATGTAAATACTTAAAAACAAATTCATGTATTTTCATCGTTTTCATTTATATTCTTCATTTGCAATTTTGCACTTTAAAAAATATACAGAATTCCTCGCTCTCATTATAACAAACAATCTCAACGGTTATAAGCATGGGCCTAAATGCAAAAGCAAGGTCATGAGTTTTTAGAACTTGTTCACCTTGGATGCATTTTTTGAGCAACTTTTATTTTTCAACTCTTATGAAGTACAACTATTATGAAATTTATTTTTTCTCCAACTCTTATGAGATAAAAGTACTATTTTAATTATCTAATTATTGTGGAGCAGGATATTGTAAATAGCTGCCCCACAGGATATTTTTTTATTGAAATATGAGGCAGTCCTGCTGCTTTTATAACCGACAAATATTAATTGATAGATCGGACAAAATTGATAAATGAGCGAATCAATACTCAGTTCAAAAGTTATTTGAATTGAAATAATTTAAAATATTGATTATAATTGAACTTGCTTAATTTTTATTAAATTTTAATTATTTTATTAAAAAAAATTAAAATCTTAATACATAATAACATGATTTATTTTATAATTATGATTATATATATATCCTATCAAATAAAAATAGAATAAAATGAATAAAATAAAAATGGTGACTTCCTTCTTCGTTTAAATACTCCTTCAAAATCCAATGATGGCACACTATTCAATGACGGATTTGAATGAATTTGAAGGGTTAAATTAGTTAATTAATGAATGAGCGAGTTATTGATCCGTCTAATGTGACTTGAATAGAAATGGATTAAAATGCAACTCATAATTTAATTTGTTTAATTTTTACTAAGTTTTAATTATTTTATTTATTTTTATATATAAATTTTTAGTGCCTAATAAAATTATTTCTTTCTTTATTATGATTATATATAACATATCAATTTAGAAAAAAGTAAAAAAAAATATATTTTGATAAAATTACACTTGAAATCATTTTGGGGCAATATATAACTAGGGGTGTATAAAATCAAACCGAAAAACGAATCAAATCGCAAATCGAGTCAAATCACAAATCCGACTAGTGGTTGGTTTTACTTGGTTTGGTATTAAAAAAATAACCCCGACTATATTTGGGTTGGTTTGGTTTTAACTAAAAAGAACCAATCCGAGACCAAACTAACCCGACATTATATATATAATTTTAAAATTTTATTTTATACATACAAATATTTACTTTGCTATAATTTTTAAATATTTCTTATACTTTTTTCATTAGTTTTTATCTTTTAATATATTATTTAAAAGTTTGAAACTTAGAATTCTGAATGGTTCAATAAAGATTATAGTCCACAGATACTGGTAATTATAATAAAACTTAAATCAAAATCAAATTCATACTAATGCAAAAAGAAAATCAATTCAACACTAAGAATGACAATAATATTGAATATTTGTTCTTTGATTTTACATTGGTTTAGACAATTCAAATACAAAACCTAATTTTAATTTCCTTTAGTATTTAGTTATGTAACCAATACTTATTAAACTTATTTTAGCATGATTTAGTACTTTTAAATTATTATCATTTTCATTATGACTTGTTAATTTGCAATATTTGTTTTACGCGATTTCATTATTATTATTTTTTTTGTTGGATATTTTAGTGTCATTACTCATATCATATATTGTTTTTATTTTCTTAAGAAACACCTTAGATAGTTGTATTTTGGTAGGACTAAAGAAATATTTGAAGTACAAGTAAATTATATGTTTGTATGAATACTTTACCGAAAAAACCCGAAAATCCGAAAAATCCAAAAAAATTCGAAGTTGAAAAACCCGAGTTTAATTGGTTTGGTTTGGTTTATAGATATAAAAATCCAACACAATTGATTTGGTTTGATATTAGAAAAACCCGAACCAACCTGGCCATGTACACCCCTAATTTATCAACTTAATTCTTAATGGGCTTTCTTATTCATTTAAGGGAAACTTTTAAAAATAGCAAACATTAGGCTTTAAATATAATTCATTAGTTATAATTTCACTAATTATAATTCGTAGCTACACTTTCGTTTGCTACGCATTTATATTTTTGTATTTTTTCATGGATTTTGGAGAAAAAAATTCAAAAACAAACTAATTTGCATCAAAATGAATACATATTAGGAGGAGAGAGGCGAGCGAGATCAAGAGAGGGAAAGGGACAGGCGAGCGAGATCGACAGAGGCAGGCGAGATTGAGAGAGGGAGGGAGGAGAGAGCATTTTGTATTTATTTTGCATGATATATATTCTATATTTATTTAATGCTAACTGTTTTATATTTTGTATCAATTGTATTCGATAAAACTAAATTTATATTTTTATATCAATTGTATTTATATTCATACGAATACAATATTCATTCATGCTCTTTGACCCCCACTCCCCCCGCACCCCACATGCTCCACATGCAGTATACAGTAACAATGATATACTGTAATGCTCCACAAGCAGTATTACAGTATCCGAATTTAAATATTCATGAAGAATAATGATGTGATTTTGGATCTGGATATCGAGAAAATTTAAGAAATAACGTATTTAAGAGTTGTTATTACTAGTCCTAACAGAATTTCCTAATTTTCAATATATAACATTAGATTTCTAACATGGAAAAATTGTATATAATAGCAAACTATTAATTCAAATTAAATGCTATAACCATAGTTTGATTTAATTATACCACATAGCACACTGTTGCTATTTCGCCTCTCTCCTAGTGAATCTCGCTCGCCACTGTCGTTCTCGCTGGGCTGTCTCCCTTGCCTCTCTTGCTTTTATACAAACAGAAATGTATAAAATACGTTTGTGTTTGTATAAAGCGAGAAAAAATTGTATATATATATATATATTTATTTATTTATTTTATTTTTTTTCGTTCCCCTCTCTCCCCTCTCCAAGATCTCGCTCGTCACTCTCACTCGCCTCTTCACTTTATACAAACACAAATGTATACATTGTGTTTGTGTTTGTATAAAGCGAGAGAAAATTGTATATACAAATGCAAATGCATATATATTCGTCCTATACACTTATGATTATACAAATACGATCTTCCCTGCCCAGTTTTCTTTTGTATTTCTCTCTTTCTCGCTTTATACAAACACAGATTATACAATTGATCTTTTGTATATGTATACCGAAACATATTATACAATTGCTTTCTTTTGTATATGTATAGCAAAATATACATATATATGTTTGCTATGGAGCACAATTATGCAAACTATAGCTATAGCATACAAATATAATTTTTTTATTTGCTATATGTGAAAATTACAATATGTAACAAATTAAATATACAAAATAAAAATAAAAACGAAAAAAGAAAATAAAATCTTCTAACGAAATTAATGAGCAATATTTTTCCATAACTATAGTCTTTTGTCGTTAATTTGAAAAAATGGAAAATGCATAAGATTTAGTCTTTCCTTAAATATACTCTCTCCATTTCAAATTAATTGAATTGTTGAGACATTTTTCATTTTTCAAATTAACTTAATTGTTCAATTTTCAAGACTGCTTTTAGAATGTTCTTCCAGTTTTATCTTTCATTAGTAAGTATTGAAATTAGTTATTAATTAATATTTAGTTGTTTTAATCATAAATTTGATAATATTAAATAAGGGTAAAAATGGAAAGTTATGCCTAATTTATGTTTTAATCTTCTTTTCTTAAAGGGTGTGAAATACCTCAACAATTCAATTAATTTGAAAGGGAGGGAAGTAGTATTTTGTAATACCCAATTAGTTAGTGATTATTTTGATTGCTATCAATTTTCTAATTAAAAATATTAATCTCCCATCTTGATTCTAAGTTTTTAATCTTTCTTCTTAGTTTCTAAGTTTTTTTTTTTTAAAAAACTTCTTCATGAAAAATAGTGGTATTTATTCAATATTGATTCAATATGGATGTAGGTGAGATTCTACGGATAACTTTTTTACTGCTTTGAAAACTACTTTTTGTTGATATCAACTTTTTTTAAATAAATAAATAAGCATTTTATTTCTAAAATTTGTTTTGTTTTGAAATATGTATATTTTTGGAATCTATTTTTTAGACATTTTTTTTATGAATCTTGCATAAAGTTGTCAACGAATTTCTGTTTGAAAAAATTGCATCATTTGTAACTAACATTTTATATATACAAATTTCATAAATTAAAAAATTAAAAAAAAAACAGTTAAAATAAACCAAGGTTATTACTTATTAGTTTGATATAAGTTTCATGCCGAATGAAATGAATATACCTTGTCACTGTTAGCAAATAAAGTCCTATTTTTCGACTTTGTCTTAGTCTTTAGGAGAGTAATTTATCATGGATTTGGTTCCTATTTTTTTAGGATTAATATTAGTTAGTGTTTCCAGTTTTATTGCTTAACGTCGTTAACTCTTTTGCCTATAAAAATCTGGAACCGCAGAGTACTAAATATAGTCAGAAAAGAGTTCGTGTGAATTTCAGCGTATTGACTCTCTTCCGTTCTTTTTGCTTTCTGCATATGCTTCATTCTTCTGCATCTTTTTACCGTTACATATCAAATCTTCTTGGA